CATACTATTATTATTAATATTAATATTATTATACACACATAAACACGTACGATTAAGAGCTCTTTAATTAATTTATAATAAAGTATAATTAGTAATTATTAATATTATATGTACGTTTTACGGTAACGATCTGCACGATTCGAGGAGAGTCGGTACATTGATAAAATTAGCTTTCTATGGTTAAGAGAGAGAAGAAGAAAAGCCTCTTCATGTAAAAGAGAAGTTACGCGCAGCGGAGCATCTTTTCTGGTTTGTTCGTACGCGTCGTCCCCCTTCATCCTCCCTCGATACAACAACTCGGTCTCGTTTGCTGCACTGATCTCTCCTCGAGCGTTCTCTTGACGATGTGAAGTCGGAAAAACGATGCTGATTAAAATATGTATATCGACATAGAAGAGATACCGAACACAGACACACAGAAAACAAAATGTGCGGAGTCATTACTTACCGTATACCGAGACGTCGATTTAATATGTCCGACGCTGATCGAGTAGCATTGGCCCTAGCGCCAGGAGCCAAGTCGTACCATGTAAATACTCGAACGAGCGTGAGCAACGGTGTGTCCGTATTAAACGTTCGACTTTCCATTGCTGCGCCCTTGTGCTGAGCGTACTGCAGTACTTACTCCAGTTGTGCTTGCTTAATGCTTTCACTCAGTGTCAGGGTCTTCTGCCCCTTTGTATTTGACGGACTGTTCAGTAGAATCTTTGTTTACGTTGGATTTCAAATGACAACTGGAGATTCTGTGTGGATCATGATTTTGTATTTGTTACGAGTGACTAGATCAGGTACAAAGATGGATAAACCTGGGACGTAACTAGAAATTCAGTATAAATCATGATTTACTTCGTTACGAGTGACTAGATCAGGTACAAAGATTGATAAACCAGAGATGTAACTAGAAATTCAGTATAAATCATGATTTACTTTGTATTTGTTATAAGCGATAACTAAATCAGATACAAAGATTGATAAACCAGGGACATAACTAGAAATTCAGTATAAATCATGATTTACTTTATATTTGTTACAACTGACTAGATCAGATACAAAAATTGATAAACCAGTATTTTATTTGAAAGGAATTTAAAGGTTATACCACAGAATTTCATACTAAACAAAATCATTCAGCTGTATTAACCCCTTGGCCTATTTGTCATTAGTAATTTATTGGGAAAAATTCTAAGCATGTTAAGCCTATATTTCCTTTTGAGTATAGTTAATTACAGAGGAATTTGAATTCGAATGATATATATATTTATTGAATCACATTATAAGGCAAGAGTTTAATTGGCGACTGAGTTGTCTGTCAATTGCAAAGGGTTAATTGTGCTCAGTTTTCTCATATGTGTACACTGTCTACAAGTGCTGCTAAGATAGAGAGAAAGTTGAGCGTTGGGAAATTATGAGATGAACATTCATTCGTTGATGACCAAAGTCTGTTCGAAGTACTTCCATGGAGTTCAGAACTTCTATGGATGTGAATAGGCATTGTGGGGTAACAGCGAGCATTATGGGAGTAATTACTGTATTCGATATTGGTGAAGCTATTCGAGAATTGTTCCTCTATAACCGAGGAAGGATCCGACGAGATCAGTCGTACGCGTATGCATACAAAATGTCAGTAAACGAAAGAACATTTGCTTGGAGTTACTGAGTAATTGAATTCTGAGGAATGGTTGTTCGTAAATGCGTTTTTCAAAGTTTGGAAGCTTAATATGTATTGGACAGAACTTACAATTATTCAGTAGAATCATCACTGACTTGTGAGGGCTAAATTTTTCATATTTTCATCAACTTGAAAGCTTAGTATGCTTATATAATATTTGTCTCAGCAAATGGACAGAATTTACAACTATTATTTCAGTAGAATCATCACTGACATAGCTGAATTTTCCATGTTTTCATTAACTTGAAAGCTTATACAATATTTGTCTCAGCAAACAAACAATTGTACGAAACAGAACTTACAACTATTATTTCAATAGAATTATTACTAACTTATAAAAGCTGAGTACGTTCCACATTTTCATAAACTTAGAAGTTTAATATAATACAATATTTTCCTCAACAAATGGACAGAACGTACAACTATCATCCAACAGAATCACCAGCAGCTTTTAAACTCTACTCAAACTATTCCCCATGTTCCACAAGCAAGTCCAATATCAAAGACACCGAAGAAACAGCCCCAGAAAGAAGCACTTACGAAACCACCAGTAAAACCGTTCCATTAGAATGCCAAGTTGATGTTCTTTTGCTTGTAGATGCGTTGTAGAGTACGCGAGAATGGAACTGCCGGCGAATGCGACGAAAAGCGATAAAAGCAGGCAGCGCATGGCGTCCAATCAACGTGTATTAATTAACAAAAACGGAGAAACACGCTAGAAGTGGTGGGCAGGAGCGGCGGTGAAATACGCGAGAAAAACTTTGTCGAGGTACTAGTTTTCTAGTTAACCATAACAAAAATACTATTAGCCCGTAGCGCAAGACATTAAACGTAGACGAGGACAAGATGGGGACTAGAGTCAAGGCAACGAGTGGAACGGTCGATTTGTACACGCATATTACTCACGTATTTAATTAACCGCTCGCCAAGACCTCGTGTAATAATGCTTGATCGACTTATGACCGATTTTTTCGATAGACAAAACTATTTACCAGTTGAAACGCTGGCTAACCTCTCCCCTTTTACC